GAAATGTCCACTGTCACGTTATCATGTCCTAACTGACTGTGTTGAGTAGGCTCTTCTGATAATTGTTACCATTTCATCATATTCTTGTAGATGTTATTTGGCCAAAGATTTGCAATCACTGGTAATGAGGTTATACTTCAAGACCTTTGATAAGATCCTGAGCAGTTATTGTAGGAATCGTTTGGACACATCACTTGATATTACTACATTCTTTCAGATAGGATATACAACAAACATGAAAGATTTATGAAATTCCACCTGACATTTATTCAATAAAGTCACAGACTTGGCATTTTTTCAAAGCTAGTTATTCATGTAGATTACTTGTTATCGTTTATGTGTTATTTCTTTTATGTTAACACAGCTATCAGTGGTACTCTGCTGTCAGGATTGGACTAGGACTGTACTGATCCAGTTTGTGGCAGTGATACAATACCATACATCATCAATGGGAATGATGAGTAAAACCCTGAGCGTGTTGTAATGGATCTAGGGGAGGTCGGGTAGCCTAGTGGTTAAAACGTTCGCTCGTCACGCCGAAGACCCAAGCATAAACTTTTAATGTGAACAGTGTTATGCCAAATCCTCCAAGCATAAACCTTTAATGTAAACAGTGTTATGCCAAACTCTCCAAGCATAAACATTTAATGTAAACAGTGATATGCCAAATCCTCCAAGCATAAACTTTTAATGTAAACAGTGTTATGCCAAATCCTCCAAGCATAAACTTTTAATGTAAACAGTGTTATGCCAAATCATCCAAGAATTCTTGTATTTTCTCATCTTTTCGGGGATGTTTTAATAAATGAGTTTCACAAAGTATATGCTTAAAAGAGTCATCACGTCTTTCCATGGACAAAAAACTCACACTAGTGCTTTTAAGCCATAACCTGGCAATTTTGCCTGAATCTGACCACCCACTGCAGGTGCCCTAGAAATGTGAAGCTTAATAGATCTGATACAAGGTATATTAATCCAGTAATGCCCTGTCCTTGGTCTCTTATTGTACTTGCAGATTGAGTCATGTAAATGTCAGTGGCACTGAGATATAAATAAACAGCTTTTAATGCCAGTCCATTGTAGGTGTTCTGTTATCATTTTGAGAGGATTTCAAGATGGTTGCGGAATCTTACAAAGCGAGCTACGTGACGATGGGTGGTCTGAGCATAGCCGTAGGTACCTTTATGTCAGTTTAAACAGTCACTGGTTGTGTCTGTCTTCTCCCATTGATGTCCATGTCTTTGTTTGTATGAAAGCCATGGTGATCTGTATGTCATCGTGGAACAGTTGTCGAAATGTCAGGATCTGAGGTTGTGGTTCTGTTGAGTGGGAGATGCTACTCTGTTTCACTCAGACTTTCGCCACAAAGCGGAAACAAGTTCACATTGAAACATTTATTTATTATCTGGATTATATTTGTTACATAATCTGAATTAAACTAAATCTCATTTGAAGAGACACCTTTGGGCACCAAGACAATTCCAATGCTGTCATGATAATTATTTTAAACATTGTTGGTTGTTATCGAGGTGCGTTAATTTGTTTAATGTGAGTAAAAGTGTAAAATAACTTGTATCTTTGAGCATGTGAGATTGGGTTTGTGCATGTTTAGGATGTAGGGCTGGTTTTTGACTAGTTTCATCCTCCAAGACTACTTTTGAAATATATTTGACAGCCTGATTGAAATTGATGCCATTTAATGGGCGGGACATTATATACCATGTTCTTTGAAGTTTGTCTTTTTAGCATGGAAAGAGAATGCATGAATAGAGTAATCTTTACAGATGATATCGACATCCTGCTTTCGTACAAAAGAGTGAAATTAACATGTTCAGCTGTGCATGTCAAGATCTAACTAGAAATGATGTTTTTATCTCAGCCAAATCTAATATCATGTGTCAAGATAATACCATTTTGATGGCCCACATCACTTGCAATTGCAGTAAGAGTTTACTGAAGTGAGCAGATGGGGGACATAGTCATAAAAACTGGCCAAGTAAAGCACTATTGTTCCCAGTCACACAAAGTAAATGCTTTTAACATTAATGGATTTGAAATTGATTAGTGGTTGAAATGAGTTTACTTTTCATTATGTGTGTTGGGGTTGGTGGCAGATCAGCTTGAGAAGCTGGTGATGATACTGTTGTATGTGACGACAGGATCAGGTCGTCTCTCTTCCTGAACCACTCAGTGGGTGGTGGGAGTTACAGTCACAACGAAGCAGGGGAGCACTTGGTGCTCCAGCATTGCACATATGTGTATATAATGTGAAAAAATGACAAATTTGCAGATAGTAATTTATATTAATTTAATGTTAATTAAATGTTAATTAAAAATATACTACCCCATCAAAATGATAGCCAGCATTAAATAAAGTATATATGTAGTGGGAAATATCTGTAGTACAGATGATGACCTGCATTCCTCAACCCAGCTGGTCATCTGGACAGTGTGGCTGAAGGAACTTAGAATGATGTTTGTTTGTAACTGCTCCGAACCCTTCTCCTCAGACATTCTGGGGATAATTATATTTTTCAAGAGTAGCCATTGAGTAATGTCCTGTTGGACAGGAGGAAACTGCAACATGTATGTTTATGTGCAGTTTCTTTTGTATGATTCTATGCTGTTAATGACTCTAAACTTTTGAATGTTTCACATTATTGTGCATCAGATATAACTGTAAAATGTTCTTGGGGGAAATGTTAACAATTTGGAAAATGACCTTTTGACTTGAGGCTTAGTTTTGTTAAGTTAGTATTTTTCTCTAATGTTGAATGTTTTCTAATGACAGTATTCTGCAGGCTACAATGCTTTTACCTTACCAAGTTAAATACACAGTCAGTTTCAGTGTCTCACATGTACAAGGTGACCACAGTGGAGAGCAATCATAGAAAAGATCTTATGGGAAACTAACTACTCATTGTGATTGCATTTTCTGTCACTGAAAATGATATTGTTCATTGTTGATGTACCTGGGTCTGTGACTCTGTGAGTCCTTTGAACTTTCAGTAATTATCTTCAGGGGTCCTAATCATGAAAATGTGGTTTCCCAAAGTGACTGCTGTTCCAACAATAAATAATATGTAACGTATTTGTGAAGCCTTATAAGTATCATGACTTTGGATTTCCTTGTTAATGAACCGACCCGTGAAGATCCGGGGTAGAATAGGTCTTCAGCAACCCATGCTTGCTGTAAAAGGCGACTATGCTTGACACAAGAGGAGACTAACGGGATCGGGTGGTTAGGCTCGCTGACTTGTTTGATGCATGCCATTGTATTCCCATTGCGTGGATCAATGCTCATGATATCAATCACTGGATTGCCTGGTCCAGACTCGAATATTTACAGACTGCCATCATATAGCTGGAATATTGCTGAGTGCGGCGTTAAACAACAAACAAACAACACATTGATATTGTTTGGTATCGTAACAGAAATGTTCTAAAGGTCTTCTGCTTTGGAAGTAGTTTGTATGATTCAAACAGACAGACACATTTGCTTGCAATGGGTGGACATTAGCTACTTTGATTCTCAGATTATGATGCATAGAGGACAAAATATTTTCTTTGGGCAAAATCCTGTCTCATTGTTAACAATGGTAAATGTCAGTTATGAACAATCCTAATCCTTCTGTCTATCACAGCCTACACTGAACCAGGTGATTGTTTTATCTGATTCAGGACCTATCTTCAGTTAATGCAAGTTATAACTTAAAGTTATGTTCAGTAAGTTTCATTTTGAGCTGAACTGGCTATGTGTTTCTTAATGCTTAAGATTTATCTGGGATACTGCAACTGGGGACGACACTGCTTGGGGTGGGATGTATGGAATTGTTTCACAGAATGTAGACATATTAGGAACTTTACGGTAGACAGTGCAAATGTGTTTGTTTTTTAAGCTAATGTCAGTCTGAAAGCTGTCAGGCTTACTGGCATTGGTATCTTACCCAGGAGCAATAACAAGCATTGCTATGTTTTCTGAAGCGTACCTGGGAGCAAACAGGATCATTAGGTTAGGTCTGCTTCAAATGTTTTCTAGTTGGTTTTGAAGATGTTCCTACAAATATTTTGCTTTTTGAATGTGTATTTTCCACTTGTTTTACTGGAGAATATGAAATGTTTCCAACATGATTTGGACACCTAACAGCATAAGGTCCGGCAATGGTCCAGACATAGAATTAACAAATGAGCATGATACCTACTATAAGTGGATGAAGTAGCTAACTGGTTGCAGACAGGGCATACCTCATAAATTGCTGATAGTTGCTTAGTAACTTGATAAGCCCATATGTGTCTTTTGTTGTATATGGCTTTAGAACAATCAGGGTGGACTCAACTTGTTATTGCGATGTATGGATAGCTAAAGTATTTGGTCTTTTGATAAATTAAATTATGCAGTTGACTGATCTTTACTTGTCTGACAAGGTTGCATCACAGTGTTTCTTTTTTTGGTCAGAGATGTTGGGTTTTGCAGTGTTATTATAACTTCTATAAGCATGGAAATTTGGCTGGAGATTAAACGAATGTTGATAAAAATGAAAGTTTCAAAGGACCAAATATAATATAAATATTGTTCAGAAACGTTTGTGTTCTTAATCTTATGACTGACAACTGGAGTTCTTTACTTTCTTCTACATGCATATGTTACTTGTTCCAGGACAGAATTATGTCTGAAAGGAATGAAAGAGCATTATTCCTTTTTTAACTTCTGGGTAACATCTATCACTGTCCATCAGAGTGTCTATCTATATCCATGTGAAAAAGACTTCCTGAAACATCTGAGACTCATTTGGCTCATTAATGTCTTACCTTTGCATTTGTAGGTAGTATGTAGTCTTCTGGTACATCTGGTACATTTGGTACATCTGGTTCATATGGTTCATATGGTTCATATGGTTCATATTGAAGACCCCATGTTATTGTTAAAAGTAAAATACATGTTTGAAAACTATTGCATTATAATTTGTGGGTACTATAACGGTGTGTGTTTTGTGTTGCAGGCCCAGCTGATAGCCCAGTCCATCGGGCAGGCCTTCCAGGTGGCCTACATGGAGTTCCTGAAGGCCAATGGCATCGAGGACCCGGGCATCCTGAAGGAGATGGACTACCAGGATGTTCTCAACCAGCAGGAGATCTACGGGGAGGAACTCAACCTGTTTGCCAACAAGGACTATCACAAAGAGGTACATGTGAAAGCCACTTCTTATTCCACAGCCTTCCAATATTAGAAGAACTGACTTTTTCTCTGCCAGTATATGTGAAAGACCCGTGTCATTCCCCATTTATCTCGTTCAAAAGAACCCATCTCCTTCCCCACTCTTCCCATATGAAAGGACCAACTCATCCACCTATATCCTGTGATTTAAAGAACCATCTCCTTTCACACCTTCCTATGTGAAAGGACCAAATCGTCCACCTATCTCCTGTGACTTGAGGAACCACCCCCTTCCTCCTTCCTACATGTAAGTCAGTATGTGACTTCTGTCCTCCTCTCCAGGTGATAGTGCCGAAGACAAAAGGGGAACCTTTGGGTGTTGTGATTGTGGAGTCAGGTTGGGGATCCATGGTGCCTACTGTCGTCCTGGCCAACATGATGCCAACTGGTCCAGCAGCACGCTGTGGTCAGCTCAACATCGGTGACCAGATCATCTCCATCAATGGCATCAGCCTGGTCGGCCTGCCCCTGTCAGCATGTCAAAATCAGATCAAGGTAAGCAACTTCAGCTGTCATCATATGGTCATAGAAAGACAGGAGGATATAGTTTTATTAGGACTGCAAATATACTTTCACGAATGTGTGTGTTACATTAAAACAAAGACAGAAATGTAGTGATAAGAAGCAACATTATGGCTTTTCTTGGTTTAGAAAACATTACATGGTGTATATTAAGTTTCATCAGAGTATCCAGACCCCTTGTTTGGTGATCAACACCAGCAGCGTTCAGCAGATCTTGAACATATTCACTCTAATTATTACTTTTCCTAATATAATGGTATACCATACAATCAGTGATTTATTGAATAGGAGAAAGGCAGTATTTATATGACAAGAAATGTTTATAGATTTCAGAGGGATATTTAGTACTTGTCAATACCATGGACAGCTATATCTTCATACAACAGTACATCTGTCTTGCAGCAGAACTAAATGATTTCAAGTCTTGAAACATTTCCTGTTGTGTTCCCACTCACCGCGGACGTCATTTGGTATTAAGTGTCCATCAGAACTGTGTGAGACTGGCAGCATATCCAGATCAGCCAGTCTGGGCGGGCCTGGCCAGAGAGATCCACCAGTATTTGTCCATCAGACAAAGATGAACCGGTCAGAATTGACACAATGTAATTGGATTCCCAGATAAACTTTTAGATCTGGACATCCAAAACATTTTGCAGTGATATAAGCTTCTTAGGAACTGATGAGATTTTTAAGATGCAGTTTCATGAATGGACATAGTATATCAAATTATGTTGGATGTTGAAAATATGCTTATGGTTTTCTATTGTATTTCTGACTGAAGTGTGTTATAATATGATTTAAGGGGCAGTCGGGTAGCCTAGCGGTTAAACGTTTGCTCGCCACGCTGAAAACCCGGGTTCGACCCTGGACATAGGTACAATTGTAAAGCCCATTTCTGGTGTCTCCTGCCGTGATATTGCTGGAATATTGCTACAAGCGGCGTAAAATCAAATTCACTCACTCACTCACTATAATATGATTTGCTTACAACTAAAAATTGTAGTTCTCAAATTGTGAAATTGATGGGAACCAATATTTAAGGTCTAAAACTTGAGAAGTTTTTAGAGTGATGGTGATCATGTGTTTAACAGGCCACTTCCTGACATTAATAAGAATTGAATATGCATATCTTCCCTGACAATGTTTTCATGTGCAAACAATGTCTGAATTGAAACCAGAAGTTGATGCAAGCAAACTATCACCATAGTGCCAGGAACAGGTTAAGAACTGATGCACTTTGAATGAACATCATTATCAGATTCGTGTGGTGAGGGGCGGTCGGGTAGCCTAGTGGTTAAAGCGTTAGCTCGTCACGCCATAGACCCGGGTTCGATTCCCGACATGGGTACAATGTGTGAAGCCCATTTCTGGTGTCCCCCGCCGTGATATTGCTGGAATATTGCTAAAAGCGGCGTAAAACCGTACTCACTCACTCACTCGTGTGGTGAAAACTGCACTAGAATACCATCATGTCATGTTTGATTTGGAGTTGTTGTCTGAATCTAGGATGAAACGTTTATTCAAATGTGCATGCAGATTTGTTGTCTTTACAGACTCAAGAATCAAAGTACATGATATTGTTCAAAGATTTTGGACAGATTTTTGGTCAGAGCAAGATTTCATAAGAAATGTAAAGTCAAGAATGGTCTGTTTTGTATGGAGTCAAAATTGGAAGATGTTGTGTGGGCAGTAGTAGATACAAAGGCATTGTGTACACATTCATATCCTAGAATAAACACCAAGTCCTTGAGAAAGCTGAGCAGGACAAGAAACTGTCTGTTAGCAAGAAAAACACAGGGTGATACCATCACTTCTTGATCCTTGCACTCTTTGCACAAACACAAATGGAGATAAATTGAGCAAAAAGGGTGATAAATCAGAAACGTCTGACACGATAAAAACGTGTGGTTACTGCCTTTCTTATTGACTGCATGTGTTGGATACTGGCTCAAGTACTCAAAGAATGTTTTGACTCTTCAAGTGAACAAGAAAAAGAGACAATTTGATTTGGTATGCATTGAAAACGTATTCCTGACCGGCACGAGGCTGGTTGGACGTTACATGTCAAACTGATTGACAGGCATGATGTTATCGTAGAAAGTGAGGCTTTTCTTGCTTGCCAGCCATTGATGATGTTGTCTTTATTGTATCCGTGGACTGCCAGACTCGTGACACATCATGCATCTTGAACTTTCCCAACGCTACTTTACTCCCATTTCCCTGTTTTTATTTTCAATTAAAGTCTGAATTGAGTTTCAAGTTGATCCTCTGGTCAATAATGGTAAAGCTTTCAAGATTCTGAGGATGTGTGGCAAATGTGATGTTCATCATGTCAGATCATGCTCCAGATACGATAATAATCCTCTGTACTGTTGAGAATCTATTGTTTGACTTCATCCGCATCATGGTATGTTGTCTTGATGTCTGTATATGAAACATTACTATGGAAATATATCTGAAAACAGACATGGCAAATAGTCTGTTTGTCAAGCATTGATTTCCAAAGACAGTGTGGTCAGTTGCATGATGAAATGCTATTCAGGTTTTCCCTCAACTAATTACTATAATAAACAAGAGATTAAGGATTTATCGACACATACACTGGCAACAATACAGGAAGAAAAAAAATTGCCTACAAGGGAATTAAATGTTATGGATCCAGTATTGATTGGTTCTTGCATCTGACAGTACCATTGATCTAATTACACCAGGTTGGGGAGGATGTGAGCTAGAATAAACTTCATATTGATCTGAACTGATTGACTGCCCACATATAAAACTCCTGTCTGCCATTGTGCTTGTCAATAATCGATCAGGTGGAAGGTTAATCGTCCACAAGATGGGAGTTAATCCATTGTTCTCTGTTGTTGTACAGTCCTATAGTCAATGATCAAGTGAAAGGTTAACTGTCCACAAGATGGGAGTTACTCCATTGTTCTCTGTTGTTGTACAGTCCTATAGTCAATGATCAGGTGGAAGGTTAACGGTCCACAAGATGGGAGTTACTCCATTGTTCTCTGTTGTTGTACAGACCTATAGTCAATGATCAGGTGGAAGATAAACTGTCCACAAGATGGGAGTTACTCCATTGTTCTCTGTTGTTGTACAGTCCTATAGTCAATGATCAAGTGAAAGGTTAACTGTCCACAAGATGGGAGTTACTCCATTGTTCTCTGATGTTGTACAGTCCTATAGACAATGATCAGATGGAATGTTAACGGTCCACAAGATGGGAGTTACTCCATTGTTCTCTGTTGTTGTACAGTCCTATAGTCAATGATCAGGTGGAAGGTTAACTGTCCACAAGATGGGAGTTACTCCATTGTTCGCTTTTGTTGTACAGTCCTATAGTCAATGATCAAGTGAAAGGTTAACTGTCCACAAGATGGGAGTTACTCCATTGTTCTCTGATGTTGTACAGTCCTATAGTCAATGATCAGGTGGAAGGTTAACTGTCCACAAGATGGGAGTTACTCCATTGTTCTCTGTTGTTGGACAGTCCTATAGTCAATGATCAGGTGGAAGGTTAACTGTCCACAAGATGGGAGTTACTCCATTGTTCTCTGTTGTTGTACAGTCCTATAGTCAATGATCAAGTGAAAGGTTTACTGTCCACAAGATGGGAGTTACTCCATTGTTCTCTGATGTTGTACAGACCTATAGTCAATGATCAGATGGAAGGTTAACTGTCCACAAGATGGGAGTTACTCCATTGTTCTCTGTTGTTGTACAGTCCTATAGTCAATGATCAGGTGGAAGGTTAACTGTCCACAAGATGGGAGGTACTCCATTGTTCTCTGATGTTGTACAGTCCTATAGTCAATGATCAGGTGGAAGATTAACTGTCCACAAGATTGGAGTTACTCCATTGTTCTCTGTTGTTGTACAGACCTATAGTCAATGATCAGGTGGAAGGTTAACTGTCCACAAGATGGGAGTTACTCCATTGTCCTCTGTTTTTGTACAGTCCTATAGTCAATGATCAGGTGGAAGATAAACTGTCCACAAGATGGGAGTTACTCCATTGTTCTCTGTTGTTGTACAGACCTATAGTCAATGATCAGGTGGAAGGTTAACTGTCCACAAGATTGGAGTTACTCCATTGTTCTCTGTTGTTGTACTGTCCTATAGTCAATGACCAGGTGGAAGGTTAACTGTCCACAAGATGGGAGTTACTCCATTGTTCTCTGTTGTTGTACAGACCTATAGTCAATGACCAGGTGGAAGGTTAACTGTGCACAAGATGGGAGTTACTCCATTGTTCTCTGTTGTTGTACTGTCCTACAGTCAATGATCAGGTGGAAGGTTAACTGTCCACAAGATTGGAGTTACTCCATTCTTCTCTGTTGTTGTACTGTCCTACAGTCAATGATCAGGTGGAAGGTTAACTGTCCACAAGATGGGAGTTACTCCATTGTTCTCTGTTGTTGTACAGTCCTATAGTCAATGATCAGGTGGAAGGTTAACTGTCCACAAGATGGGAGTTACTCCACTGTTCTCTGTTGTTGTACAGTCCTATAGTCAATGATCAGGTGGAAGATTAACTGTCCACAAGATGGGAGTTACTCCATTTTTCTCTGTTGTTGTACAGACCTATAGTCAATGATCAGGTGGAAGGTTTACTGTCCACAAGATGGGAGTTACTCCATTGTTCTCTGTTGTTGTACAGACCTATAGTCAATGATCAGATGGAAGGTTAACTGTCCACAAGATTGAAGTTACTCCATTGTTCTCTGTTGTTGTACTGTCCTACCGTCAATGATCAGGTGGAAGGTTAACTGTCCACAAGATGGGAGTTACTCCATTGTTCTCTGATGTTGTACAGACCTATAGTCAATGATCAGGTGGAAGGTTAACTGTCCACAAGATTGGAGTTACTCCATTGCTCTCTGTTGTTGTACAGTCCTATAGTCAATGATCAGGTGGAAGGTTAACTGTCCACAAGATGGGAGTTACTCCATTGTTCTCTGATG